TCCCAACTCAAAAATGTTTTTTTTAAATTGAACGACAACATTACCAGATCCTGATCCCCTACAGATGAGGTTGCCTGGAAAATTATCGGGACCATAGGTCGCGTCATGGATCACCAGCAGTTTGTCGGTGCCACATTTTCCATATGGGATATCGATGGTTCCACAATAATGATCAAGCTGGAATCCTAAACAACAAGAAAGTTTGTTGAAGAATCCGCGATGGCAAAGTTTTCCTCGTTATTACAGCGATTGTTAATTTTAATTATATAGAATCAGAACAAACATTTAAATTAACTATCAGAGCATACAAATGAACGCGCACAGGGGAGTGAACTATCCTGATAAAGTGATTAAATTAACATATTACTTTAGCAAATCAGCGTTACTTTATGGACATTCAAAAAACGCTGCTTACTAACCAAGTGTTGAAAATGTATACTATTTGAGGTACACGCGTTGCTAGAACGCGCGTATACTACTAGTCTAGTTTTCACAGACCTAGACACATATCTAAGGGAGGGCGCGGTTATCTCGCTTAGGCGGACGGTTAAATCGCAAGCGTACATACATACGCAGAATTCAACTCGTACTCGCCCGCGACACCGGCGCACCCGATCGAAAGCGCCCAAAGATACGACAGCAGCTCGCGCGCGCGGTAAAGCTGGGTTTACACTAACCAACTTTGTGTTGGCGAATTGGCGAATTGGACCAACTTCACAACTATACAACCGACAATCGGCAGTGTAAACGCAAAAGTTGCGCGACCAACCGATCGATAGCAACTAGTTGGGAGATCAGAACGTGTTCTATTTTCGCCAACTCGGAGCTGGAAAATTAGAAAGTTGGTCCAACTCGCCATTTCGCCAACATAAAGTCGGTTGTGTAAACCCAGCTTTAAATGACGTCGAGTTTACGACAATGACCGTGTTAACTGGTTAATCGGACGACGCGCCACCTGCATGTTGAGACTTTGTCAAACAACACAATCATCTTTTGTCGCTCTTTCTCTCGCAATTGTGTAAACCCAGCTTAATCCGACCCACCTCCGACGTCAAGTAGCGGCACTTCGACGGATTCCTCAAACTTGGCTTCTTGCGTCGTCGACGTCGTCATCGTATCTGTAGCGACGACAGCGCTCACGTAATCCGGAGTGCCGCTTCCCTCCGGCAGCGTGTCGAGGCTGTCCGTGTAGTGTGTGAACGCTGTTTCGCCGTACAACAACGGACCTAGCGTCTCTCCCGACAACATGAGCGGCTGTAGGTCCTGCAGGCTGTCATTGCCGCTGTGCTCGAGCGCACCGCTACCATCGATAATGTCCACGCCTAGGAGTTGGACGGTCTGGCCGGCACCTGTCGAGTCGATGACATGCGTTAAACTACTACTCCTAAAGCATACAACTACACGAATAAACTGAATATTATCAGGAGTAAATAATAATATATCTATTATTATTATTCACTCCTGATATCATCATTAGGTGTCCATGTAGTGTGTTTTCGTCTTTGATCTGGACACAATCATTAACGATGGTGAAATTAATCGAAGAGCGATAGTTAAGTAGGTAGTCGCCTTGCAAAATATGGGGTTTACTTTCGTTAGCTTCTACATTAAACTTTACTAATGATAGCAAACAGTCATTAAATGGTACTAGCTAGCATCGCTATATCTCTGAAGTACTTACTTTGTATCGTGCACAACTGTAGAGAAATAATGAAGATGATAGATGGGGCTGCGATGAGCCGCCAAGTATGTTGCATTGCAAACGTCGAAAGCATTATTTGTAGCTTTATGTTCGCGACAGCTCAGTCTACACACGCAGGGAATCTCAATACGTTGACTTCGCTACGAGGTGTCGTTTGGGCCGATCGTGTGGGCCGTATGTTGCACTGCACCAGTGAGTATCTCGACACCGCTGACATATGCTCAATCCATAGCAGTTTGCAGGCGGATTCAAAACGTGCGTTATCAAGCCCCCGGGGTGGCGCTGGCTCTGGATACGTTTTGGGCGTTTCTCTATTCTCTCGCACTTCCGTGTAAGGAACCACAGGAAGAGTGGGTATATGGCTATACGCTGTACGGCTACATGTATCTGCGTGCGCGCGTATGTGTCAATGTCGGGTTCTAGGCGCGGTATCCGGCCACGCTGCCTAGCCACTCATCGATACAGAAGAGCAGATAATTATATATATATTTATATATATACAGTACTGATACATATAGATACTATATATCACTCCATATACACTATACTACATCATATATATATATATATGATATATATTATATATAATATGCGCGATGATCGACTGGACTGACTCGACTGATGACTTATGGACTCATATATATATATAATATATATATATCCCGTATATACTATATATACGTATAGTCAACACTAGAAGTCGGCGATAAGTGCAGACGAGAGCAAGCAGTGACCCGCGATGAGGAGATGGAGAGAGCAGAGTGCGCAGACGAGAGACGAGAGAGAGAAGAGACAGAGAGAGCACGAGACGAGCAGCACACCCGAGAGAGAGAGGAGAGAGCAGCGAGCGCGCGAGCGAGAGGAAGAGAGAAGAGAGAAGAGAGCGATAGAGAGAGAGAGAGAGACAGAACACCACGAGAGATAGAGAGAGAGAGACCTAATCGGCCCTCTTGCATTTATACTGTAGGTTTACACTGTATCACCTTATTTTGATAGCGAATTGATAAAACCGCAAAACCTAAGTATAAATATTAAATTAATCAACTTTAAAAACATTTAGACCGGGCAGCATGCATTCCCCCCATCGGCTCATAATTGGCTTTATTTGTTACCCCTCTTAGTTCGCTATACCTATTTTATCATATATATCAATATATACTACTATCATAATATAATAGTACTATTATACTATACCATAGAGAGAGAGAGAGAGAGAGAGAGCGAGAGAGGATTTCCTCTTATTACGTAAGGCGGGCAATACATTCAACATTTCCCATAGAACGCTATTTCTGTCCATGTCCTCTCCTTTCAACGACATGTGATTTCTGTTTAGCAGATATATAGGCATGCACACAGACACGCCTGACACTATCATCTATTGCATGCTTTGAGGAGGCTTGGTTTCACATTTATGTACCCCTAAGTATGTGCTTACTACAGGTTTGTTATTTCAAAAATATTATATATGAATATGTTTTGATTGCATCATACAATCAAGAGCGAATAAATAAGGATTATAGGAAAGAATAGAGGAAGGAATAAATTAGAGTAGAGCGCATCGACTCAGAGGTAGTTCCAGGTAAAATACCTCTATCGGATTTTTTTTTTATTAATTGAAAGATGGCTAGTCGTGCCAAATTTCTCAGTAGGATAGCGCGAGAACTGTGTTTGCGCATGCCCAGTTATCTGCCAAATAATTTAGATTTTATTGAAATTATATACTCAGCAAAGGGAATACACACTAGTCGCAGTGGCTTGAAATTAAAAATAAATGTTATTATTTTATTATATAATTTATAAGGCGTCTGGTTTAACGGAACGATGTAACATTTATAAAATATAAATCATCCACTAGATGGCGATGTGTCCTATACGTTATACGCAACTACAATCTCAGCCGTTATCAAATGAATTAAATATTATTTTGTAAAGGTTACCAATTTAATTTACAGCGAGCATTCACGCGAGTAATTTAACTTGAAAATCTGTCTCGCTCACCATAATAAAAATAAAATGCCTAGTCGTAATACATTTCACTGTGGCATTGCACGAAACTTGTGTTCGCACATGTCGTGTTGCTGCCAAATTACATAGTATCTCATAAAAATTATCTATTTAAAATAATGAGTACATATTTGTCGTAGTGGTTTGACATTAAATATAATTCCCTACGTTTCACGTTATTAACCATAATGCGCGTAGTTTAACGGAGTGAATAAATTTTCAAACACGCACTAGATAACGATGTATCCGGCATGTCGTCCGCGGCTGTATTCAGGCTCTAATAAATGAATACAATAATATTTTGTTGAAATGACGCTTTTAATTTCGAGTGCACATATCCATAGTCATATGCATATATCAATGATTCATAATGAGAATCGCTGTAAGTTTCTATAAATTTAGTAATCATAAGGTGCCTCCTCGTATCAAATTTCTATGTAGAATAGCGGGAGACTTTTATTCAACCTGTTTTTAATTTAGAGCTCACATGCGTGTAAGTAATTTGCCTTAAACATTTATATCAGACTCTCTCTAATGACCTCCCCATAATCCCCTCTCTTTAATGACCATTAGGTGTCTATTTGCCCTAAATATCCGTGTAGTACTGCACGAAACATGTTCGCGCATGCACAGCGTCTACCAAATTCAAAAGTGTTTTATGGAAATTAATATATATATATATATATATAATATATATATTCACACTGAAAATTAAATATTCTAACGTGTTTGTTAAATTCCAAATCTAGAGTCTCGCGTTATTAATCGTAAAGGACCTAGCTTAACGGGCCGATGAAATACTAATAAAATCAAGAACTAGATTCTTCCGGGATGCCGTAAAATTAATTAAATCTCAATAGATGCGTGCTTTATATGTCACATGCAGCTGTCTGTTCATCCGTTGGGAAGCGAATGAAATAATATTTTTTGTTCAAGTTGCACTTTTAATATTTTCTCGTGTTTTCTGTCACCAAACTTATTTCGCCTCATTCTTTCTCACTCGTTTCAGTCTCTCCAACCCCTTTCCCTCTCCATCGTATTTCTCTCTTTCGCTCGACCTCGCCCCTCTCTGTTTCCCCCTGTCCACCCTATTCTCTCAAATGCTTTCTCCTCTCGTCCGCCTCTTCGACAAATACTGATTTTCGTTTTCCAGGCGAGGATTTCTGTTCTTGCTCTGACTCGCAATACGCACAGGCCGTGTCCGTAGGCGGCTATCGCTTTCAGAGTGAAAAAATCCTTGATCGTGGCGCAGGTGCAGTGAGCAGTCTATATCACCGGCGGCAGTTCTCACAAC